TTTTGGATGAATGGACCAAAGTTATCCCGTCCTTTGGTATGCACTTGGCAGCTGCAGGGTTCGTTGACATGCAGTCACTGAGCACGCCACTTACAATCCAAGGAGACACTCAAAGTTGTGGGACGTTTTGCGTATCTCGGAAGTTGTAGTAGTTCTGATTGTAGTGTGACGGATGAGGTCATTGCACGGTCGCGTCTGCTAATCTGGGACATCCATATCATCAAAATGCTATATTCCTGAATCTCAAGAGACGTGTGTATCAAGCTATAGTGCGGGCTGTTTTGTTGTATAGTTGTGAGACATAGCCTGTCCGAGCAGCTAAACTGAGACACCTTCAGGTGTTCGACAACAATTGTCTCAGAACCACAGCCCGTGTGAGCTGGTGTTGGCGAATCCGTAACGAGGCAACTGGGAAGCGAGTTTTCGGTTGTGCAACGGGTAATTCCATTGAAGAACGCGTCCAGCACCAAAAGCTGCGTTGGTTGGGACATGTGTTTTTTATGCCAAACCATCGTTTGCGAAAGAGGGTGTTGTTTTCCATGCCCAACTCAGAGTGGCGGAAGGAAACAGGCGGCCAACCCTTCACCTGACAGAGGGGTATGATAGAAATTTCGCAACTTTTGTGTGCTTACGGTGCTACCCACCTTCCAGGATGGAAATTGTGATTTTCACTGCGTCTGCTTGGAGACGCTGCCTGCTAGTCAATGTCACTTTAGAATGGTTGTAGTAAGCTAGAGCTAAGTCCCTTCCATATCCACCTTCATTCTTTTCTTCACATTGAGGATTTCAAGTAAGTCATGGTTGTACGGCAACGAAGCATCGCTTTTGAACACTGATTTCACTGTGTCATTGATTGATGTGATTATGTTAGCCTAATTGTTGTTTTACTGTAGAATTACGGAAAATTCAACAGCTCTTCAAAAGCACTTCAGTAACTCAGTAATTTGCTTCCGGTCACGTATAATATCTAGTTTGATAACTATTATTCAGCGTGCCCAGTGTATTTTTGGTGGTAACCAGGTGTGACAACAATAAACGTATGATCGTATTTTCATTGTCTTAATGGAAACTCTTATTTGGGCACGAATTATGAGTCTAAGGTGGTTCATAACGAAATAAAGGGAAAACTAGCACTTTCCACTACTTTGTTCACTAGAGGCAAAACACATTGCTTATCTTCTGCGAGTCCCATGCTAGGTTTAGTGTAGTGTTCGTGGTAATACGAAGCATCGCTTTTGAACACTGATTTCACTGTGTCATTGATGATGATGATTATGTTAGCCTAATTGTTGTTTTACTGTAGAATTACGGAAAATTCAACAGCTCTTCAAAAGCACTTCAGTAACTCAGTAATTTGCTTCCGGTCACGTATAATATCTAGTTTGATAACTATTATTCAGCGTGCCCAGTGTATTTTTGGTGGTAACCAGGTGTGACAACAATAAACGTATGATCGTATTTTCATTGTCTTAATGGAAACTCTTATTTGGGCACGAATTATGAGTCTAAGGTGGTTCATAACGAAATAAAGGGAAAACTAGCACTTTCCACTACTTTGTTCACTAGAGGCAAAACACATTGCTTATCTTCTGCGAGTCCCATGCTAGGTTTAGTGTAGTGTTCGTGGTAATCAGTTGAAAACCACGATTGACACAATTCAGTCAGATGCCGAATCCCCAGATCTACTGATGAAAGAAGTGACGCCCTTCTCTGCGAGGTTGTTTATTAGCGGACACGAACTAGTCGATTACAAGCCATCTTATCTGTGCAGGGCTTTTGGTAAATGAACGTTCTCAAGCGCCCTGTAGAAGTTTTCTGGACGTTCACCGAATATTAAACAATAATGAATGAGCACTACAAAGCGGCTCCATAATTTCTGTAGTAACTTTCAGGCTTCATCAAATGCGGGGGCGATGTCTGAACACCAGACGATAGACTGCTTGCGTGATTCGTCAATGGTATAAACCCTTACGCAGGTATTTAAGTCCTTTTCCACTCGAACCGACATTGGATCGACATCCTTGGAAGCTTTGATAGCAACCGCGCGAATGAATAGCTGAGATTTCGTAAATCCAGAAAACTGGATTATCCTCCAGTAGGCGATAGCTAAGGTAAACAGACGACCGTTCAGTCTAGCGATTTTTGAACGGTCCACTGGATCTCTGCTATACATATATACCTTACTAAACTACTTGAAACTCACCACAAGGTTAAAAAGGTATGTAGACTTCAGAAGCCCTATTCATACCTAAATTTATAACTGCTATTTCCAACTTAGGACATCATGAGGTATAAAAAATTCTACTGTTGGCAAATATCCATCGTTGGCTCCTAATTAGCCGAAGCTATAAATTGTTCGTTGAAATTGTGCTGTAGTCAGTACCTCATCGAATCACAAGGCGTAGTTTGGTCGACAAACAGGTACGTAGTTTACGGTGATGTCTCTGAACACGACTTCAACATAAATGGATCAGTCCTGTGTTCTGGACCACACTCTGGCTAATAAGAATTAAACGTTTTTGTCTACAAGACTTCTCCCGGAGCATCTTCCCACTAAATGTCCTGTGGAGAAATATTGTACGCCATAAAATCTAATTGGGTTGATTTCCTGCATATCTCTCCACACAAAAGTATCCTCATGGATCGTTCAGGATTATAGAATACTATAGTCTGCCAAACGAATGTAGTGCACTGGGTGTGTAGGATCGTTATTTCAGAGTGGATGCCCCATTTGTTCAGTGGCATGCTCCGCCAGAATGGAATCTAGCTCGTTAAGCTGCAGCACAGAATCAAGTGTTTTGAAATTTATAGTATCTTTTTAACACGATTTGTACGAGACGGTAGCATGTCAGCTCGCCTTACTTGCCTGCTCATCGGTATTCAACCATCCGTTCACTAACTGGATTGCGCAGCGAGCGGAAAAGCACTCTTTTACTTTGTTCTTGTGGTTGTTGCGGTCGCGATTAATCGATCCTTCTGTCAAATATCATGAACACTAATGTGTGTATGATGGAGTCAAACGAGACTTCACCTACTGCAACGTGCAATTCTCCCTGATGAAGGTGGTAGGTGTCACCTTTGGGAACACCCCCCCCCGGCGATGGGACCACTTCTAATGTGCACTCCTTTAGCATTCATAAGTAATCAAAACAAACGCGGTCAGCCAAACAAGTTATCACTTTAAAGCATGACACCGTTCAGTAGTCTAGCACGGAAAACATGAATGACTCATTTAATCGTGAGAGCGATCGTCTCGACAGGCTTGCCCACCCGCATCTACCTATGGGGTAATTTTGTCGGTTTCCTTTTCTGCACCACTGGCGTCTTTCATATCTTTGCTGACTTTATTGTCATCATTATCATGATGAATGTTCTGCATATTCACAGATGGGGAATTTACTGCAGTCAAGCTCTAAAAAGTTGTAACGCGAGAGTGCGTTGTCGTTCAACTGGCAATAATATACACACTTCACTCTGGTCATAGGGCGGAACTTCGTCGTTAGAAAAAAAGACATTATTACACGCTTTAATTCCACCGGATGTTCAAAACTGAGAAAAAGGAATATGGCTTTTCTCCGGCAACACTTTAGATAAGAACGAATTTTCCGTCATACTGGATGGTTACTGACTACGTATTAACACTGTAGTACATTTGTAATGATTCTATATTATGTACTCCTTAACCAGTGTTATTGACGTAATCCGCAATATTACAGTCATAGCCTTAAGAAAAGGTTCAGTAAAGTCTTGAAGAGTTTCCACCGTTTCCTAGACCGGCCTGCGTACGCAACAATATACTGGCGTTTAATCCAAGTCTATATGAAAACCAGAGGCTGTTCCGTTAGACGAGCCCATCAAGTGCATATCTGAAATGGATGTAGCAGATTTTTCGTACGCATCGGTATTTTGTGGATTCGTTAGTGTGCCAGAGTTCATTTCGGCTCGTCATGGCTCTCGTGAATTCCTTTAACCTCTCAAATATAAAGTAGGTCTATTGTAACCTCACAAACGCACCGGTTCGGCTCTTACTCGCACATGATCTGTCAAATAGTATACCGTTGCGGATGTGGTGGTTAGGTGGGAAATGCCCTCCTTTTCCTTCTTAAACAGAGGACTGGTTTCTGCTGATGCTCAAACACAGCATTTGGTGGAAGCCGTAGATGAGAATAACAGGTGGCTTGGATCAATGTGGTCAATACTGCATACTTTTTACTACAACGTACCCACTGAGACAACCAATTTCACTTCGTCATGTGGTAGGAAGAGCAGCAGTTACACGTCAATCAAGAACAACGACAGACCGGTTAGGTGACGAGATTACGACGGGGATACCGATGGAAAATGCTCAAAGAGAGAAGCAGATAAAGGGGACGCCCTGCAGAGTGGAAATTCAACAAGGTTCACTATAGTAAGGATCAATACTCAATCAACTTGCTGAATGATGGCTTGTGATGCACCTATTATTCTCAAGCTGAGTCCAAATCCGGCCAGTATGTTACGTTTCTTCTTCTATCCCCCCCTGAAATGTTATCCTGAAACACTGGACTGTGCTACATCCTGAGCTACAATTCCTACATTACCGAGAATAACAATAGGCGCATCCTGATTGCAACGGAAATTCAACTCCGTCGGAAACCAATGGCAACCGTATTGCTCGGTTGCCATGGTTGTGAAGAAAGTAAGGGGACCGAACAGTTGTAAACATAGACAAATTCCAGGCATAACCAAACTGTATTTCAACCGGTCTTAGATGATGATCTTCAGATGCCTTCAGCAGATTTCATCCTGATATCGACCATCGCAACACTATGCAAATATCTCACCTGAAAACATTATCGAAACGGTAGAAAACCCCTAATTAGAGAACTCACCAGAAAACAGTTGTACTAGAGCGTTTGATATATTCTGAAGATAAATAAAACAATATAACACATGAGCAATGCTGTCAGTTAAACCAGTAATCACGACGAAACTAAAATAATGTCAAATGAAAAGACTCAATGTTTCGCATCGTATGTTCCTTTGCCTTTGTATGCTCCCACGTATCCCGTGTTCTCAGTACGGTCCTCACGACCTTCCAGTCCCTTTCCTTTCCCAGTTTCTGCATCGAATCTTTGAGCGTGAGAGCCTGTGTAGCCCTTGACATCGGTCAATCTGGCAGTGGCTGCATCACCACTAACTCCGGTAGTTCCATGACCTTTCGGTGCTCCCTGAGATATTTTCTGACGAAGTTCTTTGGCAGCCTCCGACTGGCCTATCCCCCTGCTTTTGGCATATTCACTTGCAAGCTCACCATCAACGAACGCCATAAAGCTCTCATAGTTCATCTCCTTGGAGCGGTTTCCCAAGAATTTTCTCAACGCGATATCGACAGCGTTAGCGTCCAACTTCTTGCTGTAAATTTTGCAATCCGTACATATTTTCTTCACAGTTTTGTCTGTGGCCGTAGTAGATCCTTTCTTCGAGGCATCACAGAATTCACGAAAGACGTCTTCCATGGTGCAGAGAACAGTGTTTCTGAGCTGCCTAAATGGTAGAGTTATTGTTTCAATACGATTGTGACAATTACAATTTATCTGGCTGCTTATTGGCTGTCAGCTGGAGGTAAACTTCCTGTGCCACCGCCCTAGGCGATTGGCTAGCCGCGTTGACGTTATTTGTTGTGTTGATGTCGTCCACCAATGAGTATACTTGAGAAGCTAGCAGTATTGGTTAGAGTGGCAATAGTACTTTTCCAAAGATGCGAAATAGTTGGCACTTTTTCTGCTCGGCCCTTTCTGTTGAGTCCAAAATCAGAGTAGATCCATTGATCAAAAATCTACTCAGAACCTGTTCAGGTAACTGATTTATCAGTTCTGCTGCAAGCCATGACTGAAAACCGAATCCAAACCAGGTGACAAGGTCAGTTTTGGAGCATGGTAAATGTTAGTAGCATTCACACTGTTGCGTGATATCCGATACGCCGACTGTACTATTCACAGTAATCCCTTTGATACATTCAGCACGACTGGTCACATTAAGGAAGCTGCAACCCACACAGCTGAATATTATTCAATTACTTTTCACCCAGAATTAAATAGTAGGTAATCCTCTTACGTAGGCTCACCCTGCAGTTGGTTATGTTTACACTTACCACTACTTTACTTCATCTGGGATTCAGTTGACGGGGTTGCTTTCAGCCTGAGTTAGTTGTACGCACCACCTACCATTTTATTGGTGGTCTCTTCTGATGGCCGCACACTTCGATCGTCCCGAAGGCTGATCGTATTTATCTCGCACGGTCGAAATAAGATGAATACCAACCGATAGTATAATGAGGCTTCAAATGCATCCGCTGTGCGCAGCAAGAATGAGTGAGACATCTGTCTTATTGGCTTCATCCTCAAGTTGGAGTAGTCGCCTGCAGTCGAACAGGTCGGGCTGTCAAATCAGCGGTTCCAGACAGGTTCCTTCAAGTGACTACCAACTTTCAGGTTGAACTTTCGAATCAAGGGCTAGAGAAATGGCTTCTTAACAAAACCTACTTCTCACCAGTGACCAATCTGTCCTGTCATAGGCTCAAGACAGGGTTCATGTTGAGGCAATCAGGGACTATAATTTGTACTCACATTTCATGAATGCACATCGGAGTTCCTTTTTTACTTTACAACCAAACGCCATAGGATCTTTTTGTTGTCAGTAATCTGACCAGGCTGCCCTCTCCAACATTTTGCTCAGTAACAAGCCGCAAAACAACACTGATGAATCTGTGAGATATTTTCTACACAGAAGATTTCAACTCAGTGCCGATTTGATGCACCAAACATGCTTGTTCAGTCTCTATATTCTCTCGAATGTGGTATGTGCTGCCTCTGGAACACGCCTGCAAAACTCAGGCACTTACATTTATCTTAAAATGCTCGGAAAGAGTTTTTCTTCAGTGTTACTGTCTATATGTGTTCTGTGATCCAGAAGCGACAGCTCGTCCACTATATGTCTCCGGGGGTGGCACTCAGCCCAATGCTGAACGCGCTCCCTAGACCGGATTCCAGCGAACAGTTGTCTATGTACTGTTTGATCATCCCGTAAACCAAGCTTAGTGCTACTAAACATGAAAACTGGTGCCTGTTTGTAACAGCCCGTGCCACAATGGACACTAGCTCTGACACTGAGAAGTATAATTTCTAGTGAGTTTTATCCGATTGATTCGTCGGACAAGAAGCGACGACATCGTCATCCATGCGGGCGATATAAATGCCAAGGTTGGTCGTCTGAGCTATTTGGAATCACATCTGGTTGATTTATTCTGAGTCAATGCTAGCCATTGGTCACAATGTAGAACCATGTTCCAAAAGTGCCGCTCCTTTTGAGGCAGTTTCTTTCCACTCGTAACATAGTGCGAACGCGTCTGTCAGTTCGCCTACTCGGCAGCCACCCGCAAGCCACCAAAGATTGTGTCAGTCTATCTTTTTCAAAAAAGCACCATGGAGCTGCATCATCCATCAGACCTATCTCAACTACTGGCTAAAATGAGCCAACCATTTGCTGGTAAGGAGCATGAGGATAAATCATAGCAAGATGTAGAAGGAATTGTGCCGGTGGTGTTCAAAGCGGTTTGTTCAATTCCTCGATATAATCAGATGATTACTGGATACTGTCTAGGTCACTAGTTCTGACTGACGATGGGGAATCCATACCACCGGGCAACGAGTACGAGGGCGTAATCAAACTCTTCAAACGCCGGGCAGTGTAGAGCCTAAGGAAAGACCGAAAGTTATGGTGAACAATGAAAGGTGATAGCTTTTTCTACCTGAAAAACAAGTTCCTTGCGCCATTTATCCCGCCGAGTACCCTACCGTGCTAAGTAAAAGGACGGTTCAGTAATCCATTTGCAAGCACACCAGTTAGAAAGAACGAGCACCTCGAAGAATAGTTTAGCAGAAGGTAGAACGACGAAATCATCACTGAATTATCAGTTGGCTGAACACAGTCCGGATCTGTAAATCGTTCAGAACGTCCGTTGACCTTATGCAGGAGTTTGTTCGGCTCATGCCAATAACCGCCTGAACGTCCTCACAATACATGAACGGCGGAGGTCTAATGTAGGAACTTCTCAGCTTCTCTTCAGAAACCTGCCCGAGTGATGCTGAAATGGAAAAACAAAGGTTCTACACATACACCCATCTGCATATCAACTAGGTTTGCAGGGGAGACTCACCTGAATCTCTCGTCTATAGTATTTTTCTTGTGTTCTGTTTACTAAATGTGGCTACACTAATGTTTCGTTCATTTGAGACACATTGCCCGTTATAACATGTATACTCCCCATTCAACTATGAGATCAGCTATACAGTAGGTGCTGAGAATTTCGGGGAAAATGGGCCAGTCCTAACCACATTTGTCACAGCATATATTGTTCCTCGCATTCACTATGCAGAATCCACCGCAGCTATGTGGTGCTTTTTTGTACCATTTTTGCTGAATTTGACATTTTTTAGTGTGACAGGGAGTTTTTTCGTCTTTTTTGCTGGATATGGAGTGAACTGTTTCAGTTTGAAATAAGTGGGGCAAATGACCAACAACGCTTAAGGCAACCAGTAAAGGATCACTAACTAATTTTTTTTATTTAGTCAATTTTGTTCAGTTCAAAACACCTGTTTATGTAAACCCACGGCACTCGTAAATGACTGGTGCGACAGCAAGTGAGCGTGTTTTCTACTAGAAGGACATTCATCTTGATTGTGGACTGTGTATCTACGAGTTCGGTAAATTTGTAACCAAATTTGGTGACTCCCATAACAACACGCTGATACCACTTGAAATTGCTTTGCTGAAATGCACTACCAACAATTTGCTTTTCCATATGACAACATCAACATTTTGTGTCAAATTTTCTTGCTGTCACTATGTATTCTTGAAAAATGCTCTCAAAGCTCAACAGTGAGCGTGCATTTTCACGCTAACCGGGCTAACCAGGCTAACCGCTCGCGCATTATACCCTGGTCGCCCCATGTTGTTTTAATCAGGCCTAAACTGTTCACCAAAAATGTTTATGAGCTGTTCATAACTGGGAAACACATGAAAGTGAGTTGTACGTTTTTATCGTTTAATTTAATCTCCCACTTCACAAAAGGTCTTTCAATACCTTGTTACACCAGCTTATGCTTTTAAATTACAGGGCTTGAAGTACTGAACAGCGAATCTACCATATATTTTGACAGATTGCTTTGAGCACATGCCGGTGTGCAGTCCCATCTAACTGGAAGCGTTTCATTCCAGGTGGTATCGTAGTAAGAGAACTAACAAATAAACTAGCAAGCAAAACAAATACATCTGCATTTCTGAGTATGAAAATCACATTCATTGAGCCCAAAAACAATGGTAAGGGATGAATTCGGACAATTAAACACATCCATGGTCCTGTTCGCAACATATCGGTTTTTTATATAGCTGCGAAAATACCTGAAATGGTAAGATGCAGGTACTCGGCATACCTGGCCAGCAGAATCTTTGATCAGCCATGATTCAGTACAGAATGCACTCTATCACGACAGCTTCCTGGGCTTAGCTTGTTCATCTCTTCCGCGTTATCCAATAACTGTCACACTTAAATCGGTTCCAAACCTGTAAACGAGAACTTGCTCGGTATCCGTCAAATCTTTCCATTTCATAGATGATTTCACCTGTATGGAAACGCATTGGAGGTTTCACCCAAAATCCGTAGAGCTTTCCCAATACCGCCAGATTTAATAGACCGAATGTCAGCTGGGGACTAATATCCCCAGGTTTAGAGCCAATGTATGGTCTTGGTTTCTAAATCCATACTATAGGTACGCGCTTGAGAAATGAAATGCTCACTTATTGATGTACAATCAGCTCTTACTTTATGCTGTTCTTATCCTTATGAGTTATCTGCAGATTATCACTTCTGAACTTTTACGATTTATTTTCGAGTTTTTATTCATTAGTTCTCAAGACGTCCCAAAGGCGAAAACAGATTCATATAAGTGTCAAGACGAAGGTGATAAAAGTTGTGGACGGACAGAAGGAAATGACACATTTTTATTCATTTCCGCGCAATCATAAAATTGCAAGGTATGAATGGTCCTAGGTGGCTATACAGTATGCGTTTTAAATATTACTGATGCAGGAATAACACTGGCAACTTTTAGTTTACCTCCACAGATACCGGTGATGTCTAACACCATGGTGAGTGCCAGACCAGTCGTTTGCTATGATTGAGTAAGAGGGTGCCCTCTGGTTCAATTTTGCACATGTTGATGGATTATTGGGAGAGATAGATTCGTGAGAATTAAACTGGGTTTCATCATGACCGAGGATACATCGACCATGTCTTTACCTTGAGTCCAATCCTTGAACAGCACCAATCCTTCGTACGTCCCTTGTCGGTCGTTGTTCTGGATTTGAAAGCTGCTTTTGATTCTGTCGATCGTCAGAAACTTTGGCGATTTTTGGTGATCAAGAGTCCCCCTGGCAAATTTCTATCCCTTAAAAAGGC